CTGTTCATGTCCTTTAGGTGTGCTTGTTTTTCTGTTCAACATCAAGGGAGGTGACTTCATTATTCTTCTACCTATTTTCATATTCTTTTTACAGATTTGGTAACCTCCCTTATGTTTTGCTAGTGTGTGTGACGTGGTTACCTCCCTTGTTTCATACTGGTGTATGTGTATTTATGTCACTAATTCTACCACACCCAAAAATACAGCTTCTACCTCCTGTTTACATATTATTCAAATCTTTCAAATAACTGAAAGCAGTCTGCAGGACTGATAAATACAGATTAAGATAAAGTGATAGTGGTAATATTATTTTTTCTTTAGTATAATTTGTCATTAGAAGAAGGTTAGAAAAAGAATTCAATTTTTTTTACTAACATATCAAATGACATGCTGAAGTGTTAATCATTATCTGAAATTCAGATGTATATGCAAATGAATATTTTCCTTCAAGTCATTTTGAAATATGAAGTAGACTTGTATAATTCACTCATCAAAATTCCAGGAGGTATCACTTTTATGTTTTAGTCACAACATCTATAACACATAACAATATCTACTACACCAACACCATTCACACAGGCACACAACAACCATAGCAAAATGAATGATATAGCATACAGACAGACATATTCAATGTTAGTATACTCATAGTTTACCGATACTATACTGCCTCCCACCAATTTCTGAAGCAACCAAACAATCACCTCTAACCCCAAAAAGTATATGGTGACTTTTGCCCCCTACCAAAGAGATCTATTAGGATCATTTTGTACCCTCTGTTCTAATCAAATGTATAAGTCACCACATAATAGTTTCCATATATGCAAATATTCTTTTTGGTTTTTTTTGAGTATATATATTTATATTTTTTGTAAGAATTGAAACATATTTCAATTTATTATAATGGCTGAAACATCCTGTTCTCCTTAACAATAACTAAATATTGCTTGGTTTTTGCAGTTATCTGTTTCATGTTGTGGTTAAGTAATTAGGAGAAAAGCTAAAATACCAAACATTAAAGGTTAATAGCATACAATTTTACTTTAGAAAATGTTAGTAAATTTACCATTTCCACCAGGCAAATATATAGCAACAAGCCATGTACAGTAAATCAGTTGTTATACAGAAAATATTTTGTTTAAACTTACATGGAAAGATAAATGGTAACTTTTAACCTTTTTTAAACACAATGACACAGGTAAGTGTTATGTTGTTTGATGTATAAACAAAAATTTACTTATAAACTCTCATGTCCTCCACACAATGAATCTGTTACAGGTAACATTTTCTAATATCAATTGTAATTTCAGAGTAAAAATTCTATATACATTCTACCACTTTTAACAATTACTGACTCTATACCAATCAGTTCTTGATAATTCAAACAGATATTTCAAAATACATACATCATCACTGACTTGAAGACTGAATCCTGATAATCTGAAAGTGATTCCTAAATGGTCGAAGCTATCTGATGTAGGAAAACTATAATACTTTCACTGAGTTATTAAGTTGACAGGTAATACTGTTTTGTGCATTTGTATAAAATGGTATGTTATTGTTAACAAGAGCATTTTCCCATGGTTTCAAGTTTACAGACAATTTAATTCATACATTCCAGTTTGCCAGTAAACATAACCTTACAGACGCTTTAGTAGTTGTACATATCTTCAATATATATACATAGCTGTACTCTAAACCTGAAACCATGGACTGAAATCCATGTGAAGGATTTGTTATTTTTATCAGACAAACCAGTGCAAACAGTAAAGATATTCAGTATATAATATACTGTGTGAATGACTATATGGTTCTATGATTATACAGAACTACAGTGTATGTATTTTACTTATATGCATCAGCCTTTCCATAGGATTTCACCTTAGTCTTCACCTGAAATGTCTTATCAACACACAAACATCCCCACAGTATCCAGTGTCCCAATTTAGTTCCAATACAAGATAGTTCTAAATATATAACCATTATATATCTAATGGTGATAATTAGTTTGTAGGTGATTTTGCATCTGTAATAATCCTATTGTTTTATACTTAAGAGTACACATAACATTCTAAATAGAAATGAAAGTAGGGTATGTATTCCAATTCTATGTCTTTCTGATCTATGCTGCTTAACCAAATATACACAAGATTTAACTTACCATTTACAGTTAGCTGATCTGTATATTGTGAATCTAGATTTTATTTCATTATAGCTATTTTAATCATAGATGAAATATTGGACAAACATTACTGGAAAGATCAGATCATTTTACAATAGAAAGCCAAACTACAATTTCTTGTTAAAGATACTTTTCCTATCTCATATACCATCTCCTGTGATATTGTATTATCCGGCAATAAGCCCACACTTGGTAATATTGTATAAGTTGTTATTTTTGCATGTATTTCAACTGTAAAATATCACTTCTGAAAATTTAACCCAATGAAGATACATGTATTTACTGTCTCAACATATTTCATGCTCTATCCACATATTGATTCTGGAAGCTGTCCAAGGGAGGTAAGGAGAATTTACCAAATTAATCAAAATCTGCAAATATCACTTAAAAAATGATTTTCACTGACCTCTGGAGGTAGAACTTGGCTATACAATTTGAGATCATATGGCCTATTTTGTAAATATCCACATCAATAGCCAAAAAAATTGATCCCACAAAATTTTCAAACTTACTTGAACCACCACAATTTAGAGAAAACAACTTTTAGTGTAAGCCCTTCAGTATTTGTTGTAGTTTCAGAAGAAAAGTCAGAAATTGATACATTATTGACCTGAAATAAACCCAGCTTCTTACTGTTTGTGTGTTGGAACCCTGAGTAGTTGATAAAAGGTGGTAGTATATAAACACCTATCAGCTTATAGATCACACACCAAAACTGGAACAGTAAATTTAAAGCTTTATGCTGGAAGACTAAGATTTAACTACAATACTGCTTACAACATAAAACACAACATATTACTGTATACCAGGACATTTTTGACCCTATTTCATTTTGGCCCTTTTCATCCATGAACAGAAAGGGTGAATTTAAGATGAGGGAAAATTTGTTACACTTATGTAACTTTTTATAAAATCCTCTGAGAGCGAAATCAACATGAGGTAAACTAATGATTAATGGTATAAGGGTGAAAACAACCTTGGGCAACAATATCTCGGTATACAGTAATCATGCAATCAACAATTGTACTTCAAACTGAAAATTCAAAGCCCTCGTTAAAATTATGCTATAATTATTTTCATAAAAACACACACATAAACAACATATGTAAAGCAAAGATAGGGTACATCTATAACAAAACCAAGTCAAGAAAGAACCTGTGATACCATCATGTATAAAATCTCTGAATGCTGATGCTGCAGAATCATATATTTTTGTGGGGTTCAATTTTATTTTATTTTTTGTTTTTAATTTCTTTTTCAAAAATCACTATTCTTTGTCATGGACACTTGATTTCTTGGATGAATATTGCACGATAAAGCCACTTACACTACTTTATCAGTTCATTGAAATATGAATTCCTGGAGTAAGAGTACTTATGGAATCAACAAAAAAAATCCCACAATAATTAATGATTTTGCAGTAAGCATCCAGTCAATGATTAAACATGTTCTGTCACAAACTTGAATTTGATAATATATTACTGAAGTACATGTTAACTGGTAAGCTCTGATTGATCAAACTTACTGATCATAAATAAAGGACTGAATTCAAAATAATGAAACAGTTTGCCTTTTTTAAGACCCCACTACACATTTCAGTGGGACTAAGATATACACCTCCTAATGAAAATGTCAATACCTGAATCTTGGCTTAACATAAGGTATAGTAAAGTAGTAAAGATTAAAATAACCTTTTATTTCTGATGGATATTACTTTTTAATTTTAATTCCACGCTATTTCCTGTGTCAACTATCAATTTAACCTTTCTTTATAAGGGTATCACAAAATCAACAATGAAAATTAAAAAGAGACAGAAATATGGTACCAATACCTTCATGATTTCTGTAGTGAAAATAAAAGAAAATCCAAACATAACACCAATTAAAATTTAAACATAAACATATTAAAAATGCAACAACACCACCACCATGAAAATGATACTATTCAAAGCAGAAAGGGCAGAATTTTCTGTTTTTATGAAAAAATAAAAATAAATAATGTCTCAAGAGAATAAAACAAACTATACATCAAGAAGGATTGAATCTTTTTTGGTTTCATTGTCAAGTAATTTTGTTTTTATTTAATGCTGCTTCTGCTTTTAACAGTGTGAATCATTTCAAAACACAACTCAACAACTTACAGCTTTTTTTTTCTCCCATAATATCTCAAAAACCAATATTCAAGAAAGACGTAACCTACTCACACAAATAAAATTCTCAAAAAAAAAAAAAAGATTTAAGAAAGAAATTTTCAAACTTCAACCAAAAAAAGAGAAAAATCTGTTAAGAAATGTGAACAAAAAAATCTCATGAAAGGGTCACGTCAAAGTATGGGCATAATTTAAAACATCACAAATTTGTACAATTAAATTCTAGTTAAACCATGCAGTTTCTGTTTAAGTCATGCAGTTAGATCCCATACATTGCTGAACCAAGTAATTGTTGAGTTGTGTTGAATGGTAATGGCCCCTTTCACGATCAACTTTTTAGTCATATTTGAGAATACTAAAAGATTTGTATAAAGTTTTTGCTGCCTCATGATGCAAGAATCAATTTTCTCATGTTTCTGGCCTTCACTTTTGAGATCACAATTAACTTTTGAAATATCAACATGTAATACCTTTCAAGATAGTGTTTTATGATGATGTTTGAAAACTGATTTTGAAATACCACAAAAGCTCATAACACAGAGTGAAAATAATCCCCAAAAATACTGATGCCCTCAAATAAGACAAGTGATCGTGAAACTGGGACCTGGCTTGGATGACTAAAGCTAAAACTCACAACAGTGAACACATAGCTACTCAATACTCCACAATCACAAGATGACGCAGCATGAGCACCTTTGGTCAGTCGAGGACTGGGGAGGAGAATTCCTTGGGGACCCCTTCTTTTTCACCAGGATTGTTGCTGAGCCCAGGGAAGTGGGGCAAGGGATGTGGCTCTCTTTTTTTGGGCCACACTCATCAGCCTCATGCACATGCGTTTTCACAACAGAAGACAACACAGTTTGATCATGCAGTGATTTGTCTATTGTCACTGCAGACCCGTGCCCCTGTGACGTGAAGGACGGGTCTGCCTGACTCCCTGTATGTTTTGCTGGTGTGACAGGATTGGACTCATCAGTATTGGTTATATCTGATGTTGTGGTATGGATGGACGATTTGTCTGTGCCGATATCTCCAATGCCTGCTGAGGATGACTCTCCTAACTCTACAGCAATATCACCCTCATCCACCTTTCCCTTTTTCTTGTCGCTGCATGAAACATTCTCATCTAAATCATCCTCTGAGGATGAACTATGATGGCGACTTCTTGACCTACGAGGCCAACGGATCAATACTTTTTCAACAGCATGGACGGTTTTAGCTATTTCTTGAAATGAGGGCTTCCTGCCCATCTGTTGGAATAACTTATCCTTTGACCTTTGTTCAGGGGCAGAGTTACGCTTTTGACGAATGCTATTTTTGAATTCTGGTAAAAGATGCTGCTCTTTTTCAAATGTAGCAAAGTCATGAATGTTAATATCCTCTACATGGTCGACATCGACCACCTCGCCATTGATGGAGAGGGACTTAACAAGTTGTTTCTTGGATGTGGCTTTGTCCCACACTGGCAGCCCATTACCTTGGCTTCTCTTGATGTGTAGATACAGGTATACTGGCTGTAGGCAAAAAAAAATCAAACTTGTATTATTTATAAATAACAGATGACAATATTAATATGGGCATGAAGTCGAAAACTGAAATTTCTTATTCCTAATCCTAATTTCATGGACAACAGGAAGTATGATAATGTAATAATTTATTTGGTTGTTGAAAAACAAATGATATATTCTTTAGGACTTCGAGAATTTAAAACAGACATGAACATACTTACCTACAAATATCTTAGCATTACATCAAAAAATTTACAAGATACAACATACTAGCCTACAAATCTCTTAGCATTACATCCAAAATTTTAAAACAAATACCAATGTACTTACCTACAAATGACTAAGCACTACATCATAGATCTTACCTTATGATCCCCCATACAGATTTCTTTTCCTATGATGTCATATCGGGGCTGGTATTTGTCTTCCTGTAGGAAAATAATTAAATACAGCTGATATTTATTCTATCATTTTTCTTCTTTACTTTTCAATTGGTTATATATTTTACCACATTTTTCATACTGGATTATTAAACATGTACCATCAGTATACCAAGTACTGTGTAACAAGCATGAACACTTAAAAAGAGACTTAATAACACACTTACCTGATAAAAGCTTAAGATATGTTTATTGAAGAGAGAATCATACACTGGGAAGTTTTCAAATAACATGTATGATGTGCTATAAAATCAAATACCTGTGGTTGATGCAGGTTCATGCTAAATATCTTAGGAAGAAATTATGTAAGGTGTGTAAGAAGAATTATGATTTATTTTATGCTGACCTATATTTACTACTAAAGACTACTGTAACATCATAAATTTTCATAGGGCTCACATTTTGTGGTTTTATTAAAATGTGAATTTTCACTGGCACTTGATTTTGTGGGTAAATCTTACTCTCAAAATCTCATATTCTCAAAAACTTACTCTTTAAAAAAGTGCTCTCATCTATGCCATTTTTGTATTGATGTTACTACATCTGTATCCTGTAAGATTTACAACAGATACAACGTTGATGTTACTACATCTGTATACTGTAACATTTACAACAGATACAATGTTGATGCTACTACATCTGTATACTGTAACATTTACAACAGATACAATGTTGATGTTACTACATCTGTATACTGTAACATTTACAACAGATACAACATTGATGTTACTACATCTGTATACTGTAATATTTACAACACATACAACGTTGATGTTACTACATCTGTATACTGTAATAATAACTCCATGGGTTAGAGCCAACGCTGTGTTTTTATATGTGGGTAGGTTGTTCCTGATATCCCTTGCTTGGATACCACTCGGTATGCAGGGTGATTGAGGAATAGGGACAAACAAAGCAAGTATCAACCGCAACAAGCGCAGGATAAGTTGGTAGTGAGTTTAATTCGTTTGGTCGACCGGTTTCGCCCGAGCTATGTGGGCTTCATCAGGACAGCGAATGTAAAAATTACCCCTGAAGTACTAAAAATGTGGGCACGGTTATATTGTGACGTAATAATAAGAGTCACGTGCGCTATCATATATAGTGTCCATAACGGTTATAGTTAGCACAGTTCATTATGTATGTATAGTTCGTTACATGCAAAATATCTTGCCCTTTCAATAATACATTACATGTCTATCACTGGAATTATACATTAATACATTGACACACTGTACCTTTACGGTTATATAGTTAATAAATTCTTTCATCCTAACAGATTGTAGATCTAGAGTCCGACTAATACCAACTTATCCTGCGCTTGTTGCGGTTGATACTTGCTTTGTATACTGTAATATTTACAACAGATACAACGTTGATGCTACTACATCTGTATACTGTAATATTTACAACAGATACAACGTTGATGCTACTACATCTGTATACTGTAAAATTTACAACAAATACAACATTGATGCTACTACATCAGTATACTGTAATATTTACAACAGATACAATGTTGATGTTACTACATCTGTATACTGTAATATTTACAACAGATACAATGTTGATGTTACTACATCTGTATACTGTAATATTTACATCAGATACAATGTTGATGTTACTACATCTGTATACTGTTATATTTACAACAGATACAATGTTGATGCTACTACATCTGTATACTGTAACATTTACAACAGATCAGCCTTACAATATTACTTGCGATATATTTACAAACTTACATTGACTACAATGTTTTTGGCACTACTAGACATGAGGATTCTGTCACACCATGATGGACAGCGTGTCTTCATATATGATAGACCATCTGTGATGTCTTCTGAGAATGGGTAGCTATTATCAGACAGAAACAAAATGTCAAGAAAAATGAGTACATGTAAAGGTATTTCCAATTTATCTGACATATTTTCACACCTCATCAAACCCCATGACCAGCTTTATTACAAACCATCCATAATGTACTCATTACCTACAGACTCAAAGTTCTACAATTATACAGGAGAATGATTAGAGTTAACAATGGTGATAAAACCATTTTCTACACACAAAATACAATGAGATATCTTTTCCTATAAGTCTGAAATATAGTTAACAGCGCAAGTTATAATCTATACTTTGAAGGACTTAAGATGTAAGAAAATTTATACAGTGCCAGATAACTCACTGTAGAGCACTATAACACACTACAGACCATCCAAATGAACAGTAGTAATCGATAATCAATAGAGGTTCACCTTACTGAAGTACAACTTACCTTGGTGCAAAAGATATATCAAACTCATACAGTTTGTCTTTGTAGGAATGGATCTCCTTGTCATAGGGCCGCAACTGAAAATATCCAAACAATCATATCTTTATCACAACACATTTATCCTTCATAGATCTTAAGGAAAATCAAATACTGATGAGTGACTACATCTGTAATTTGTGAAAAAAACCCACTTTTTTTCTGTCGCTCAGAATCAATAATCTAATGTGTTATTTGTATTATATCATTGTATTTGTTTCGAGCTATGTTTTCACACAACTATGCAGCAACACTTTTATAAATCAGCAAAAACCTCCCAAGAACTGAAGAATAGTGATAAGATACATACATATTTTGCTTTCTTTGAGAAAACCTCTGCATGTTTATCATGGTGATCAAAACCTTTAGTCTCAATTGTCAGCACAGTCTGTAATGAAAAGACAGAAAACTTTATAATTATTTTGAAACATTACAAGATAAGATGATTAGAATAGGTGCTATGTTTGTCACTTTTTGGTGTCTTGTGTAGGAATTGGCTATCACTTCACCTGCTCCATGCTCCACTGATTAATGAATTTGACAGCAATATCACTAAGCTGTATTTCATGTATTACAAAATACTAAGACTTATTCCAGAGTTAAACAGAAGTCATTCATGATTGCATATCAAAGTTCAAACATTTTTGAAACCTTAGATTTCAAATTAAAACAGACCTAAGCTTATGTTTTGACACCTTTCGGAATCCTGGAACTATTTATATGTTCCCAAGTCATACCATTCATACCTTGTTATAATATCCATGTTATAAAATGACAAAATCTTCAAGACAGAGTATCAGACTTAATATCTCTTAGTAAAGTACTGAACTGCAGAATGTACTATCTGCCTTTCCTGGCATCTAATTTTAAACATATACAAATTTTGCTGCCTCTAAATACATGACGACATTTCAGAGTTAAAACACAATTCACAGTAGCGAGGAAAGAAGACAGAGTCACAATGTTCTACTACCATCATGTTATCATCATCTAGTTCCCTTGCCATACCTTTCCATTTCCTTCCTCTGAGTAAACTATTTTGGCAATTTGGTCCTTCTTTCCTTTGGTTTGGTGTGTTTTGGTTTTTGAGGTCAAACTCTATTAATGTAGAAAATATGTGTTTAGGAATGGCATATACACTGGCAAAAGGCCATTAAAAAATCATTCCATAATTGTAACTTTAAAACAATACTATATCTTACTACATACAACAATAATGCCTGTGTTAGTAACTGCCAATTATAACCTTTTTTTCTGAAAATCCATGAATCAAATAAGTTTATTCGTAATTCAAGTTTTGACATATATGAACACTTGCACTTCCCATCATAAGAACATTTTTTTGTTTTTTTACCAAAACAGTCAGCCTGAACGACTAAAATTAAACATGTCTTTATCCATATTTTTACTTTCATTTTCATAATCAAAAGTGCATGCCACATACCAAAACTAGCTGGTGAACATCTAGACGGAAGTTAAAATCACCGAATATGAACATGGGAACTTTATCATACTGGTCCTTTTCAAACCTGTAATACAAATTTGTACACATGTTATTGTCTTGTTTGTCTTGAAAATACATTATGAAGCACAGAAACAGACACATAAGAAACTTATCTATTTCAACACCGCACTCTACAATATACATGTATACAATATACATTATACAAATAGTTCTATTGATATCACCTCAAATTTAGTACATTGCTACATGATGTACAGGATAAATATTGTGTACTGAATGTGTACAGATGTTTACCTACCTCTGAAGTGTATGTAGAAGTGTACAGGATGTGTACAGATCTATGTTTACCTACCTTTGAAGTGTATGTAGGAGTGTACTGGATGTGTACAGATGTTTACCTACCTCTGAAGTGTATGTAGAAGTGTACAGGATGTGTACAGATCTATGTTTACCTACCTTTGAAGTGTATGTAGGAGTGTACTGGATGTGTACAGATGTTTACCTACCTCTGAAGTGTACGTAGAAGTGTACTGGATGTGTACAGATGTTTACCTTCCACTGAAGTTTATGTAGGAGTGTACTGGATGTGTACAGATGTTTACCTACCTCTGAAGTGTATGTAGGAGTGTACTGGATGTGTACAGATGTTTACCTACCTCTGAAGTGTATGTAGGAGTGTACTGGATGTGTACAGATGTTTACCTACCTCTGAAGTGTATGTAGGAGTGTACTGGATGTGTACAGATGTTTACCTACCTCTGAAGTGTACGTAGAAGTGTACTGGATGTGTACAGATGTTTACCTTCCACTGAAGTTTATGTAGGAGTGTACTGGATGTGTACAGATGTTTACCTACCTCTGAAGTGTATGTAGAAGTGTACTGGATGGGTACAGATGTTTACCTACCTCTGAAGTGTATGTAGGAGTGTTCTGGATGGGTACAGATGTTTACCTACCTCTGAAGTGTATGTAGGAGTGTACAGCATGTGTACAGATGTTTACCTTCCACTGAAGTGTATGTAGGAGTGTACTGGATGTGTACAGATTTATGTTTACCTACCTCTGAAGTGTATTTAGGAGTGTACAGCATGTGTACAGATGTTTACCTACCTCTGAAGTGTATGTAGGAGTGTACTGGATGGGTACAGATGTTTACCTACCTCTGAAGTGTATGTAGAAGTGTACTGGATGGGTACAGATGTTTACCTACCTCTGAAGTGTATGTAGGAGTGTACAGGATGTGTACAGATGTTTACCTACCTCTGAAGTGTATGTAGGAGTGTACTGGATGTGTACAGATCTATGTTTACCTACCTCTGAAGTGTATGTAGGAGTGTACAGCATGTGTACAGATGTTTACCTTCCACTGAAGTGTATGTAGAAGTGTACTGGATGTGTACAGATCTATGTTTACCTACCTCTGAAGTGTATTTAGGAGTGTACAGGATGTGTACAGATGTTTACCTACCTCTGAAGTGTATGTAGGAGTGTACAGGATGTGTACAGATGTTTACCTACCTCTGAAGTGTATGTAGGAGTGCTGCTTTTCTGTTATTACTGTATACTGAGGGACTCTGTCAACACAAACATATCCAGATAAAGAACTCATAGGGGGAAGATTTAATACAAAACAATGATCTACAGAAGTATCTGAAAACTTACAGAGTTATTTCATATATTTTACAGTTAAAAATGACACAATGCAATATTAGATATTTGCCTTTATAAATCTTTTCAAAAATCTTATTCTGTTTGCAATTTAAACTCAACCTGAACAGAAAGCAATCTAATTTGTCATTAATAAACTACACACAAAAAAACCCCTGAGTAATCTTCTCAGGTTTTGTTTGGTAAAAACTGGCTAGTATTACTGTAAGATAGAGTTTGATATCTTTCTATTTTCTGAACAGGTTTGTGTGTTCCATACTTACTGATTGCATTGCAATAATATTGGATGCATCATGGAATAGATGAATGTTGACAAGATCAAATAAACTGAAAAAGAAGAGAAAAATACACATCTGACAACTGTAATAAAGGAGGTCACTAACCGCCTAAAATGCAAGGTGACTTTACATGTTTTTTAACTTTTAAATGTACTTGTCTACATTTTATCGTTGCCTAGACCAATAACATTTAATATCATAAAAATCACACAATTTGATAAAAACTTTCACTTATAATTAGAAATGAGAAATGTGTTCAAATAATTAAAAAGCATGATTGCAATTCACAGGATGCACACTGTATGTTGCCTAATTCTTCTGTAAAGAAGTTATCATCAATCTGCATTGCCTTACCAATTTCTTATGTTCCATCTTGTTCTGATAAAGCCTTTCCTTGACCATTTAAACTGAAACAACAGAAAAATACAAAAGCATATAAAGGACTGGTTAGAAATTGTCTGATTCTTTTTAAGAACTTGAAGAATTTTCACTTTTTTTCCCCAATACAATAAAAAAATTCTAGGTAAGTTACCTCCCTTGAACGGTTTTTTAATAATTTTCCCCCTGTATCATCAGATGTTTTGAAAAAATCCATGCAAATGCGTTACTTAAGTGTAATCCTGTTCAGGCATTACACTTGAGGATCATAAAAGAGAGTGCAATACTTACTTTGTGTACTATTTAAATAAACCACAAACACAGAAAGGTATTAATACAATGTATAGAAAAATGTTATCTCATTAACAATGAAGTGGGTCCAACACTGAACATCACCATCATAAAATACACACATCCATACATTGCATGGAATATACACTCAATCACATAATCAAAATGACAATGTTAACTTGCCGTACATTTTGAGTTTGGAATATCAAAAAGAACTGAATATTAAAGCAGGTGTTGTTTAAACTGAAGCTAAAAGGTGGATCTTGAAGACACCTCATCAAAGGATTTCTTAGTTCAATGAACGATGGTTTTTTCCTAAGCCCCATGGTAAATAAAATTCTTTCATACCCTATACAATGTCCAAACCTAAAATGGCCACCTACTGGTCAATTTATTTTTCAAATAAGTCAAAATTTTAATATTCCAAATTCAGGACCAAGGAGAACTTTGTTGAACTGAAATCTGAGAAGAGTACTTTGTGAAAAGTAGGAATGAAATCTTGTCTCCATTCATGATAAAGACATGTTTAATTTTTCAAAATTGGACATGAACCATCAGGCACCATGAGAAACTGACATATGAAATATGAGAAAGATACCTGTCAAGTTTTCTGAGAAATAACTCTGCACTAGATGCAGGGAGACAAAAATGCCACTGTTGGCAACAAAGAGAAGAAACTTTTACGATATTATTTGGTATTGAGAAGTGTAATCAAGTAAAATCTAAGTGCTGTCTGCAGAATATATGGTATAGAATCTGAAATAAAAATGATGATCTGTATTAGTAGGGTTTTTTTGTTGTTTTTTTTTTCTTTTCGAACACACTTCAGCAAAGCTCTCCAAAATTTGGCTTTACAATTACTGTGAAAACATTATTTAAATTATTAAAGTTAAATGGCTATATAACTCTCAAAAAAAAAATGACCATAACCAAACCAAAGCTAGACCTATATTTTATCATGATACAACTACATGCAATGTTTTATATCTGTACAAGTTTAAGAGTAAATGAGTAAAAACAAAAATATGACAGAATGATGGCCAATGGTAACACTACATGTCCATAACCAAACCAAAGCTAGACCTATATTTTATCATGATACAACTACATGCAATGTTTTATATCTGTACAAGTTTAAGAGTAAATGAGTAAAAACAAAAATATGACAGAATGATGGCCAATGGTAACACTACATGTCTCCAACAATACAAATGGTTGTAACATACTTCATTTATCAAAACTTTTGTTTGTTGATTATTTTATTTCTCTGATCCACCCAAAAATTGCACAACTAAGGACTTGGTAAAAGCTACACAAAACATATAACAATTATTCATCCTGTGCTCTTCATGAAATGAGAAAACAAGAATTGTTGAAGGACAGATAGACAGACACCAGGCCACAAAACCATTTGAACAGATCAACATCATCAGCTGATGGGATAAAAAGTAACTTTCAACATCAAATGAATACCGAGCAGACAGGAATGTGATCTTGCGTACATCAGAATCAATATCGAACTTACATGTGTGTGATCACTGAGCAATGAATGAAGGGCAGACAGATAAACAAACCTTTTATGTTAGTAGGTTCAAAAGTACTTTTTTCATTTGCGTCACTTCAGTTAAATTATTGAACTGCTACAGTATTTCCATATGATATTAAACATGCAACGATGATTAAATCATATATTTTTCCCAATACAAGTTGTGGTTCAGACAGACATATACATGGACCTGATACTCCTGACAATTTCTGAGAAGTTAATCAATAAATTCATAAACTAGTGGGCAGGTTACTACAGGCTCCGAGCAGACTGAGCACAGCACAACATCAACACTTACATCTGGGAAGAAATCCTGTGGAAATTTGGCTTTCTCCTTAATTTGAACATTCTCTATATTCCCTGATAGTACCTACAACATTAAAATTCACTGGTTAAGTGTTAATCACAATTGTATGAAAATGGAGAATTCAGAAGCAAAGTTTTATAATACTCAAATGTAATCTAAATTTTAAACAAAAAGCAAATATTTATAGTTTAAATTGACCTTCTTTGACCTTCATTACACCAACTCAAAAATATATCTAATATTATTTTACAAGAAGGTTTCAAAATTTCACAACAAGCCAAATATGCCATTTCTGCTACACATGTATACACATACACTGAATTTACAACCAATCAAATTATTATTACCCAAAAGTAATTAATGCAATTTAATTAAAGTTGCTGTTTACCTCTCGTCCAAGCACAGGTACAAATTTGCAATCTGAAAAATGAAATAATAACAATTTACATCTGTTTTCTGTTTGAGCAACATTGACAAGGAATCAGTAATAGCTAAACATGTATACATCAAATTCCTGGCAGGCAGTCTTCTTAACTCTTCTATCAACTAACAAGACCAATATGTTTAACACTGGGCTGAGTTCATAAACATGTAGGCTGGAGAAGAATTCACATGTATACATAAAGTAGATATACTAAACATCTGTCACTTATTTATAACAATTTATTCCTGGTTAAATGGGTTAAAATTAAAATAGAAATCAAAATCCAGACTTGGGGCCCCAGAAGAATATTTATACATAAACATGAACATAATGTTGAAAAACAAGGTGGGTGGGAAAATATGTACAAAAGAAGTTAATTCATCCTCATAATGGAGTCTAATGAATGAATGAGTGAACAGTACTTCAAGTCTAGGCAAAATTTGTAATAATGAAATGAAATTTAAATCAACATGGAAACCATCAATTGGTGTAAAATATGCTGGTACATACCTAATAATTCATAGTAAAATAGAAAGACTCTACTTTTACAATGTAGTATGCATTTTTTTTTTTTATCACAGAACAGTATTTCAAATTCTAAATAATTATTCACAAATTCTACTCTAGGCACATACCAACAAAATCCCAGATCATCACATCATCAATTGACTCATGGATAAAGTACAAATTCCCAAGTGCCTGAAAAACAAGGGAGGTAATTAGAATGTAATTACATGATAATGTAGGCCAATTACATATGAGATAACACATGAAAATAATAACACATAATATCAATATCTGACATATAATGGGTTGTTAACTAAAAAACATATTACAGAAAAGTGGTCATGTTATCATTACAGCTTTTGTTAATTTACATGGCATGAACAAATTTCAGTCATGTAAATCTAGACAAGGTGTAAAATGCTACAGCTCAAATATTAATATCTAAATAAGTATCTGATATTAGTATCTAAATATAAGGATCTAAATAAGTATCTGATATTAGTATCTAAATATAAGGATCTAAGTAAGTATCTAATAGTAGTATCTAAATATAAGTATCTAAATATCAAGTTGGTGGTCGAGTGGCGCAGTGGTAACGCACTGGCCTTTCACCAAGCCATCCGGGGTTCGATTTCAGGAATGAGTGTGAAAAGATATGGGGTCACCTGTCCGACCACATGAGCACTCCAGTTTCCTCCCACAGTAAGACCCCTTGTGCACTTTCATCCGGGCCAACAAGAGTGATTAATATAAGTTGGAAAAACTTGTTTCGCAATTGTTGTAAAATAAATAAAGTTTATCAAATATCAAGTCTAACTACCTGACAAATAAAATACCCAAACTGAATAGGAATCCTAATCACAGTCATTTAATCTGGGTAAAATACCAACTAAGGATATTACAGATTCCTAAAAGAAGTCTGTCACAGACTTGATGTATGAGATCATGTTAGAAGGCTTGACTTATAGAAACCTTAAGATACCTAAAAGACAAGAACGACACTGCTCCCATGAATACAAATATTATTATCTACAGTATTTACAAAAAGTTGTAAAACATGACCTTCTTTAACCTTCATCTTATGTCAATATCCAATGTGGCTTTTTACTGTTTAAATTATAACTTTCTATCAAATATATTGTTTTGTTGACCCAGAAAAAGAATAAGGAAATAACACGGTTGGGATTCCTGGGTTCACTCCCCTTACAAGGTACTGCTTCATGCAGGAACCCTCTCTATCTCCTTTTACTATCATTATCTCCATAATGTATGTAATTTTGTGAATTTTCATGGAAAAATACTGGTAGTAATAATATATCATTAATATTCCCTAATTTCTCAGTTGGTCACACACATGAATCAATCACAACATCATTAAGGTAGAAATAAACCATTATATCATCTGCTCCCTGTCTGAGTCTGCTTATTGTCTTTATCCTGTAAAAACCCAGGAGGCAACATACTGGTTTATTCAAGACAAATAGAATTGGTTTGTTATTTCACAGAAGAGCAAGGGTGGATTTATTAGTAGGTTTGTGCTTAATGGCTGCCAAATAAGGTACTATTCATCCTAGTGTGTGCTTCACAACACCTTTCATATTAAGTTTATATGCAGTTTAATATTGCAAAATGGTTTAATAACACTGTATTAAGTTTGATGCTAATAAATGATGACAAAATATGCATCTAATTCCAGGTCTTCATTATGGTATACATACAAACACAATACAGTAGAGAAGACTAATATAGATATTGCCAATTGTTCAATCCCCTTGATAATATGTCTTAATTATAATTGAATATCTATTTGCCAACTGCATAATAATATCCTGAATACAAAAAAGTACACAAAAACTCAAAAGATCATGTAAGATATAGCATACAGTAATAAGCATAAAAAACTCCCATGAATCAATTTCACATCTCTATTTATATTCCTAACCTTTGTTATCAATGAATATTAAAACCCATCTTACAGAAATTCTGTTTTCACAGTTCTTACTCTTGTATCTTTTGACAATTTATTATAAAAGTGTAATGATTAGAGATTATTTCACTGGCTACATATCACTTTATTAACCATCATTACATAATGTCAAGTTACTACACTACTGGTGCATATGAGACAAATCTCCAAGGGACCAGCTCCCTTAAACAGGCATCCATATTAAAGAAACATGTGCATCAATTTTCCTGTTTTAATATTCACGATCAAAGAGAATGTTCTAGCTGAACAAACCCTGTGAAATATCAGTATTTTGTCCAGCCTGCAAAAATTGATGGAAGGTTGTGTAAGATAAACAATAAGATAAACAAAAGCATTGTCCCTAACGGTGTTTGTTCTATATATCTATTCCTAAATGTCATCATTTCATTATGGATGGATTTGTTAATTTGCTGAGTTTGTCATCCTGTGAAATAGCCAGAAGAGTCATCTTATAGCTAGTGGCTACCTCATTGAACAATAACATGTGGAAGGCCTGCCATATGCTAAGTGCAATTTGGGAGGTGCACAAGAAAGATACAAGATATCTTAGGTAGGAATAAAACCTTGAGTGACACAACTCAGGTTGCAAAATCTACTGTTTATGGATATGAACTAGAACACTGACAGGTCAGCAAGGGCCCTGCTATGTGGCTTAAAAACCCTCCCCATCATCCCCTGTCCACCACCCTATCCTTAGACAGACATAATCCATACATCCAGAGATTACTGGCAAGACCTTACATATACTTTGCCACAAAGGTAAAAAAAGACTGTTATTAAAAAAAATACTAAAAAGTACATTAAACAATCTGATTTTCTTTATCTATTATAACTGACCTTGACCTTAGAACTTCAGATATAAAAAGCAATATCCCATGGAAGCACTTTTAGTAAGGAATCATTGTATGAAGTTTGATTTAGATTGGGCAAAGCAAACTCAACTCATCATACAGAAACTGACTTTAACTTACAGTTGCAGTGACCTTTGACCTGAATAGTAATCTGTCTCAAACAAGCACTTTTGGTTAAATAGAACTGCATCAAGTTTGAGTTAAATTGGCTACACAAAATGAATTCTCCATTATAGCGACAACAACCTCAAGCAGTTTCAGTAGGAAAGCATTGTATGAATTTGAGGTTTTTTAATGTAAAACCAATTTTCATGAGGTAATACTTACCATAACTTTAGTATGCAAATATGGTACCTACACCCATCTTTGTATCCCAAAAACAAAAGATTCAAAAATCCCGCCCTCCCTACGACCATGAGCCTTCACGTCATGAACATAGAGTTATTTCCCTTCCTCTTAGCCTTTATGTAGCACCCGTAGAGGGGCAGTCAGGCAGATAGGAAGAGGGGAGGAAAGGGTGGGACTCCATAAAGTTATGGTAAGTATTACCTCATGAAAATTGGTTTCACATTAAAAAAGTAATAATTACCATAACTTTAGTATGCGAATTCGTCTTACCGTAGTGGTGACTAGCAGCCAGGCAGCCCATCTAGCACACTAAACTTAGTAGGGAGGGGGGACAGAGTGCATAGAATAAGAAGGGGCAACCTCCCCGTGACCGAGCAGGTAAACCACGTGCCGCCGAACGGAAAAGACGAGCCCCGGGGCTAACGGGGGGGCACAGCCACAGACTGTGCAACCACCAGAGGTCCCAAAGAATACAAACCTTCTGAGTGGGAAGCCAGGGATCTCAGATAAAAATCTGTAAATGTATCCCTGCCCCGCCAGAAGGCAGCAGACATGACCTCCTGAAAGGAGGACCCATTAAGAAGGGCCCAGGATGCAGCGAGGGCCCTTACCTCATGAGCCCGCACTCTCACCCTCGCCCGAGCCTGGTCATCAGAATGCTCATAAGCATACTTAATGACCTGGCATACCCACCTAGACACCGACTGGGAGGAGATGTCTCGCTGTCCCTGTTTGATAGGCAAAAATAGACGGGATCTGGAGCCCCCCCCCCCCCTGGTTTTATCGAGATAAAACCTAATAGCCCTACAGGGACAAAGCAAAATATCCCTCTCCTCCGAGCTAGTCAAAGCCGGAATCTTGATGGGATCGGGAAGAACCCCGGGACTTGATTCTTCGCAAGGAAGGAAGGATCAGTTAAAAGAGTAACGGCAGCGTAGCCTCTGGACCAACGAAGGCAGGAAGGAAGTGACGACAGGGCGTGCACTTCACTCCTCCTACGTCCAGAGGCCAGAGCCAAAAGGAAGACTGTCTTAAAAGTTAGAAACTTCAAAGAGGCAGACTCCATAGGCTCGTAAGGTGACCTCGTCAGGGAATCTAGCACCAAGGCTAAATTCCACTGCGGGGCCAGCTGCCGAACTCTGGGTCTATCCAAAGCGAAGCCTCTGATTAGGGCAGAAAGAGATGAGGAAGAACCTATCTCCTTCCTGCCGTAAAAAGCCAAGACACTGGCAATTGCTGTCCTATAGCCAGCAATAGTGCCAGGTGCCAGATTGCGGTCCCTA